ATCACCCTATCATCTACATTAGGTATTTCTCCGAATGCTATCCCTTCTCTAGACCCCCACCCCCAACAGGCCATGGTGTGTGATGTTCCCCTACCTGTGTCCATGTGTTCTCATTGTTCAACATCAACTTATGTGTGAGAACATGTGGTGTTTGTTTTCCTGTTCTTGTGTCAGTTTGCTAAGAATGATGCTTCCAGCTTCATCCATGTCCCTGCAATGGACATCAACTCATCCTTTTTTATGGCTGCATAGTATTCCATGGTGTATATGTGCCACATTTTCTTTATCCAGTCTGTCATTGATGGGAATTTGGGTTGGATCCAAGTCTTTGCTATTGTGAACAATGCCACAGTAAACATACATGTACGTGTGCCTTTATAATCAAATCATTCATAATTCTTTGGATATATACTGAGTAATGGGATTGCTGGGTCAAATAATATTTCTAGTTCTAGATATTTGAGGAATCACCACAGTGTTTTCCACAATGGTTGAACTAATTTACACTCCCACCAACAGTGTGAAACATTCCTAATTCTCCACATCCTCTCCAGTATCTGTTGTCTCCATATTTTTTAATGATTGCCATTCTTTCCCCATTGCTTGTTTTTGTCAGGTTTGTGAAAGACCAGATGGTATAAATTTGGCATTATTTCTGAGGCCTCTGTTCTGTTCCATTGGTCTATATCTCTGTTTTGGTACCAGTACCATGCTGTTCTGATTACTATAGCTTTGTAGTATAGTTTGAAAAACCAGCTCCTGGATTTATTGATTTTTTGAAGGGTTTATCATGTCTCTGTCTCCTTCAGTTCTCTGATCTTAATTATTTCTTGTCTTCTGCTAGCTTTTGAATTTTTTTGTTCTTGCTTCTCTAGTTATTTATTGTGACATTAAGGTGTCAATTTTAGATCTTTCCTCCTTTCTCTTGTAGGCACTTGGTACTATAAATTCCCCTCTACTCACTGCTTTAAATGTGTCCCAGAGATTCTGATACCTTGTGTCTTAATTCTCATTGGTTTCAAATAACATCTTTTTTTCTGCCTTCATTTCATTATTTATCCAGTAGTCCTTCAGGAACAGGTTGTTCAGTTTCCATGTAGTTGTGCAGTTTTGAGTGAGTTTCTTAATTCTGATTTCTAATTTGATTGCCCTGTGGTCTGAGAGACAGTTTCTTATAATTTCTGTTCTTTTGCATTTGCTTCAAATTATGTGGTCAATTTTAGAATAAGTGTGATGTGGTGCTGAGAAGAACATATATTCTATAGATTTGGAATGAAGAGTTCTGTAGATGTCTATTAGGTCCACTTGGTTCAGAGCTAAGTTCAAGTCCTGGATATCCTTGTTAATTTTCTGTCCCGTTGATCTATCTAATATTGACAGTAAGATGTTAAAGTCTCCCACTATTATTGTGTGGGAGTCTAAGTTTCCTTGTAGGTCTTTAAGAACCTATATACTCCTGTATTGGGTGCATATATATTTAGTGTAGTTAACTCTTCTTTTTGCATTGATTCATTTACCATTATGTAATGCACATCTTTGTCTCTTTTGATCTTCGTTGGTTTAAAGTCTGTTTTATCAGAGTCTAGGATTGCAACCCCTGCTTTTTTGCTTTCCATTGCTTGGTAAGTCTTCCTCCATCCCTTTATTTTGAGCCTTTGTGTGTCTTTGCTTGTGAGACAGGTCTCCTGAATACAGCACACTGATGGGTCTTGACTCTTTTTCCAATTTACCAGTCTGTGTCTTTTAATTGAGGCATTTAGCCCATTTTCATTTAACGTTAATGTTGTTATATGTAAATTTGATTCTGCCATTATGATGCTAGCTGGTTGTTTTGCCCATTAGTTAATGTAGTTTTTTCATAGCATCAATGGTTTTTACAATTTGGTATGTACTGGTTGTTCCTTCCCATGTTTAGTGCTTCTTTCAGGAGCTCTTCTAAGGCAGGCCTGGTGGTGACAAAATGTCTCAGCAGTTGCTTGTCCATAAAGGATTTTATTTCTCCTTTGCTTATGAAGCTTAATTTGGCTGGATATGAAATGCTGGGTTGAAAATTCTTTTCTTTAAGAATGTTAAATATTGGCCCCTACTGTCTTCTGGCTCATAGGGTTTCTGCCGAGAGATCCACTGTGAGTCTGATGGGCTTCCCTCTGTGGTTAACCCAACCTTTCTCTATGGTTGCCCTTAGCATTTTTTCCTTTATTTGAACCCTGGTGAATCTGACAATTATGTATCTTGGGGTTGCTCTTCTCACGGGGTATTTTTGTCATGTTCTCTGTACTTCCTGGATTTGAATGTTGGCCTGCCTTGTTATTGGGAAAGTTCTCCTGAATAATGTCCTGAAGAGTGTTTTTCAACTTGGTTTCATTCTCCCCATCACTTTCAGGTACGCTGATCAAATGTAGATTTGGCCTTTTCACATAATCCATATTTCTTGGAGGCTTTGTTCATTTCTTTTTACTCTTTCTTTCTCTCATTTTATCTTCTTACTTTATTTCATTGAGTTGATTTTTAATCTCTGATATCCTTTCTTCTGCTTGATAGATTTGGCTATTGAAACTTCTATATGCTTCACAAAGTTCTCATACTGTGTTTTGCAGCTCCATGAGGTTATGTTCTTTTCTAAACCAGTTATTCGAGTTAGCATTTTGTCTAACCTTTTTTTCAAGGTTCTTAGCTTCCTTCATTGGGTTAGAACATGCTCCTCTAACTCAGAGAAGTTTGTTATTGCTCACCTTCTGAAGCCTGCTTCTGTCAATTCATCAAACTCATTTTCTGTCCAGTTTTGTACCCTTGCTGGTGAGGAGTTGTAATCCAATGGAGAAGAAGTGGCATTCTGGTTTGTGGAATTATCAGACTTCTTGCGCTGGTTTTTTCCCATCTTCATGAATTTATCTACCTTTGGTCTTTGAGGTTGATGACCTCTGGATAGGGTCTCTGAGTGGATGTACTTTCTGTTGATGTTGAAGCTATTTCTTTCTATTTGGTTGTTTTCCTTCTAACAGTCAGGCCCCTCTACTACAGGTATGCTGGAGTTTTCCTGGAGGTCTATTCCAGACCCTGCCTGCCTAAAAATCACCAGTAGGGGATACAGAATAGCAAAGATTGCTGCCAGTTCCTCCCTCTGGTAGCTTCATCCCAGAAGGGTACCTGGCAGATGCCAGCCAGAGCTCTTCTGTATGAGGTATCTGTCAGCCCCTGCTGGGAGGTGTCTCCCAGTCAGGATACACAGGGGTCAGGGAGCCACTTGAGGAGGCAGTCTGTTCCTTATCTGAGCTTAAATGCTGTGCTGGGAAATCTGCTGCTTTCTATTTATAAATTTCTGAAGGGCTGCTGCCTTTTTTCAAAGATGCCCTGCCCAGCAAGGAGGGAGGCCAGGGATACAGTCTGCCTGCAGAAGCCTTGCTGAGCTACTGTGGGGTCCACCCTGCTCAAATTTCTTGTCAACTTTGTTTACACAGTCAAGGTTATAACTGCCTACTCAAGGCTTAGCAATGGCAGATACCTCTCCTGGTGGAAGAAATTTCTAAGAAGCAAAGCATTCTAGATGTGGCCTGGTTGCTTCTGAAAGCCTACATTCATTTACTTAAACAAATAAATGACCTAAAATTGTAACTTATATTTAAAACAGAAGCAGAGCATAAAAGTTTGGAAAATGTGCAACCTGACCATGTGGTAGCAAAGAAAACCCCATTTTCTGGGGAGGAATTCAAGCTGGTTATATAAATTTGCATAAGTAAAGAGGAGCCAAATGTTAATAGCCAAGGCATTGGGGAAAATGCTTCCAAGGTATTTCAGAGACATTTGCAGCAGGCCCTCCCATCACAGGCTTGGCGACAAAGGAAAGAAAAATGTTTTCATGGGCCCAGACCTGGGCTCCACTGCTCTGTGGAGCCTCTCAGTACATGGCACCCTGCATTGTGACACTCCAGTACCAGCTCTGGCTAAAAGGGGTCAAGGTAGAGCTCAGGCCGTTGCTTCAGAGGGTACAAACCCCAAGCCTTTGTGGCTTCCATGTGGTGTTAAGCCTGCAGTTGCATGCCCAGAGGGCAAGAGTTGAGGATTGGGAGCCTCCACCTAGCTTTCAGAGGATGTATGGAAATGCCTGGATGTCTAAGCAGCAGTCTGCTCCAGGGGAAGAGCCCTTATGGCGAACATCTACTAGGGCAGTATGGAGGGAAAATATGAAGTTGGAGCCTTCACACAGGGTCCTCACTGGGGTGCTACCTAGTAGAGCTGTGAGAAGAGGGCTACCATCCTCCACATTCCAGAATGCTAGATCCACCTACTGCTTGCACTATAAACCCGGATAAGCCACAGGCACTCAATGCCAGTCCATGAAAGCAGCCATGGGAGATATACCCTGCAAAGCCACAGGGATGGAGGTGCCCAAGGCCTTGGTAGCCCACTCCTTGCATAAGTGTGGCATGAATATGAGCATCGAGTCAAAAGAGACCATTTTAAAGCTTTAAGATTTAATAACTGCCTTACTGCATGCTGGACTTGCTTGGTGCCTGTAATCCCTTCATTTCAGTCAATTTCTCCCTTTTGGAAAGGGAGTATTTACCAAATGTCTGTGCTCCCATTGTATCTTGGGAGTAACTAACTTGTTTTGATTTTATAGGCTTATAGGCCTGTAAAACTCAAAAGGGGTCTAGCCTTGTCTCAGATGAGACTTTGGACCGTGGACTTGACTTTTGAGTTAATCCTGGAATGAGTTAAGATTTTGGGGCCTATTGGGAAGGCATAATTGCATTTTAAAATGTGAGAAGGACATGAAATTTTGGATGCGCCAACGGTAAAATGATATAGTTTGGTTATGTCCCCACCCAAATTTCATGTTAAATTGTAATCCTCAATGTTGGAGGAGGGTCCTGGTGGGAGGTGATTAAATCATAAGGGTGGGCTTTCCCCCGGCTGGTTTTGTAATAGAGTTCTCCAGAGAACTGATTGTTTAACAGTGTGCAGCACCTCTCCCATCTCTCTTTATCTCTCTCCTCCAGCCATGTGAATATATGCCTGCTTCCCCTTCACCTTCCGCCATGATTGTAAGTTTCCTGAGTCCTCCCAGGCCATGCAAAACTGTGAGTCTATAAAACCTCTTTTCTTCATAAATTACCCAATCTCAGGTATGTCTTTATAGCAGTTTGATAATGAGCTAACACAGTAAGGCACTACCTAGACTGACCAAAAAAAGAAGAAAGAAGACCCAAATAACCAAATAGGAAATGAAAAAGAAGACATTACAACTTACATTACAGAAATACAAAAGATCATCTGGGACTTCACACTAACAAACTGGAAAATGCAGAAGAAATGGATAAATTTTCTTGGACATATAAAACCTACCAAGATTGAATCTGAAATAAATAGAAAACCTAAACAGATCAATAATGAGTAACAATATCAAATCAATAATTTAAAAGTTTCACAACAAAGGAAAGTCCCAGACCAAATGGCTTTGCTGCTAAAATTTTACCAAACTTATAAAGAAGACCTGACACCAATTTTCCTTAAACTATGCCAAAAAAATTAAAGAGTAGAGAGTTTCCATCTTTATATTCCTTCTACAAGGCCAGCATTACTCTGATATCAAAACTAGACAAAGACACAACAGAAAGGAAAACTACCAGCCAATATCCCTGATAACATAGGCACAAAAAATCCTCAACATAATACTAGCAATCTGAATCAACAGTATATAAAAAAAAATACACCGGGCTGGGCGCGGTGGCTCACGCCTGTAGTCCCAGCACTTTAGGAGGCCAAGGCGGGTGAATCACGAGGTCAAGAGATCCAGACCATCCTGCTCAACATGGTGAAACCCCGTCTCTACTAAAAATACAAAAAAATTAGCTGGGCATGGTGGCGCGTGCCTGTAATCCAAGCTACTCAGGAGGCAGAGGGAGGAGAATTGCCTGAACCCAGGAGGCGGAGGTTGGAGTGAGCCGATATCGTGCCATTGCACTCCAGCCTGGATAACAAGAGTCAAACTCCGTCTCAAAAAAAAAAAAAAAAAAAAAAAAAAATACACCATGATAAAGTGGGATTTATTCTAGGATGCAAGGATAGTTCAACATATACGCAAATCAATAAATGTGATCCATCCCATTAACAGAATTAAGGACTAAAACTATATGATCATCTCAATAGATACAGAAAAAGCTTTTGATAAAATTCAACACCCCTTCATGATAAAAAAAAAAAACTCCCAACAGACCAGATAGAGAAGTAAAATACTTCAACATAATAAAGGTGAAATATGACAAACACAAAGCTGACATCATACTGAATGGGGAAAGGCTGAAAGTCTTTCCATTAAGAACTGGAACGAGACAAGAATGTTCATCCCATTTTTACCACTCCTATTCATACAGAAGTTTAGCCAGAGCAATTAGTCAAGGAAAATAAATAAAAAGCACCCCAATTGGAAAAAAGAAAGTTAAACTGTCCCTCATTGCAAATTACATAATCTTTTTTTTTTTTTTTTTTTTTTTTTTAGACGGAGTTTTGCTATCGTTACCCAGGCTGGATGCAATGGCGCGATCTCGGCTCACTGCAACCTCTGCCTCCTGGGTTCAGGCAATTCTCCTGCCTCAGCCTCCTGAGTAGCTGCGATTACAGGCACGCGCCACCATGCCCAGCTAATTTTTTTGTATTTTTAGTAGAGACGGGGTTTCATCATGTTGAGCAGGATGGTCTCGAACTCTTGACCTCATGATCCACCCGCCTCAGCCTACATAATCTTATATTTAGAAAAACCCGAAGACTCCACCAAAAAACTCTTAGATTTGATTAAAAAAACTTAAAAAGTTTCAGTATACAAAATCAACATAGTCACAGCATTTCTATACAATAATAACTAAAAGAAAAAGAAATCAAGAAGGCAATCCCCTTTATAATAGCTACAATGAAAACCCTAGGAATAAATTTAACCAAGAAAGTAAAATGCCTCTACAAGGAAAACTACAAAACGCTGCTGAAAGAAACTGAAGAGAATGCAAAGCTATATAGAAATATTTTATGCTCATGGATTGGAAGAATTAATATGGTTAAAATGACCATACTACCAAAAGCAATCCACAAATTCAATGTAATCTCTACCAAAACACTAATGACATTCTTCACAGACAGTAAAAAGAATCTTAAAATTTACGTGAAACTAAAAAGGAGCCCAAATAGCCAAAGCAATTCTGAGTAAAATGAACAAAGCTGGAAGCATCACATGCCCTGACTTTAAAATATATCACAAGGTTATAGTGGCCAATAACAAGCAGCACGGTATTGGTATAAAAACAGGCACATAGACCAATGGAATAGATTAGAGAACCCAGAAATAATCCATGTATTTATAACCTACTGATTTTTTATAATAGTACCAAGAACATATATTAAGGAAAGGATACTATCTTCAAAAAATGGTGCTGGGAAAATTGGATATTCTTATGCAGAAGCATGAAACTAGGATCCTATCTCCCACCACATACAAAAATCATTCAGAATGGATTAAATACTTAAATATAAGACCTGAAACTAACAAACTGCTAGTGGAAAACATAGGGAAACACTTCAGGTCATTGGTCTAAGCAAAGATTTTATAGCTAAGACCTCAAAACCATGGGCAATGAAAACAAAAATGCATAAATGAAACTATATTAAATTAAAAAGCTCTTCACAGCAAAGGAAGCAATCCATATAGTGAAGAGACATCCTGTTGAATGGAAGAAAACATTTGCAAACTATCTACCCAATAAGGGACTAATATCCAGAATATACAAGAAACTCAAATAACTCAATAGCAAAAATCAAATAATACCGTTAAAAAATAGGCAAAAGATCTGAATAGGCATTTCTCAAAAAAACACCAATGGCCAACAGGTATATGAAAAAATGCACATCATTACTATTCATCAAAGAAATTCAAATCAAAACCACAATGAGATATTATCCTACCGCAGTTAGAATGACTATTGTCAAAACAGCAAAACAAAGCAGATGCTTGCAAGGATGTGGAGAAGAAGGAAATTTTATTTACTGTTTGTGGGAATATAAATTAATACAGCCATTATGGAAACAGTATGGAGATTGTCAGGAAACTAAGAAATAGAGCTACCATATGAACTAGCAATTCTGTCCTGGGTATTTATTCAAAGGAAAGGAAATCAGTATATTAAAGTGATACTTGCACCCCCATTTTTATTGCAGCACTATTTGCAATAGCAAAGATATGAAATCAACCCAAGTGTCTATCAATGAATGAAGAAAATATGGCATAGATACACAATAGAATATTATTCAGTCATGAAAAAAGGATGAAATTCTGTCATGTTCAGCAACATGGATGAAACTGGAGGTCATTATGTTAAGTAAAACAAGCCAGGCACAGAAAGACAAATATTGCATGTTCTCATTCATGTGTGAGAACTAAAAACGTTGATCTCATGGAGGGAGAAAGTTGAGTGGTAGTTATCAGAGGCTGGGAAGATTATGTGTTGGGGCAGGGAGATGAATAAGAGATGGTTATTGAGTACAAACATACAGTTAGATAGAAGGAATAAGTTCTAATGTTTGACAGCAGACTACGGTGATTATAGTTAACAATAATGCATTATATATTACAAAATAGCTAGAGGGGAGAGCTTGAAATGTTCCCAACACATAGAAATGATAAATGCTCAAGGTGATGAAGATCTTAAATGCCCTGACTTGATCATTACACATTCTATGCATGTAATAGAATATCAAGTGTACCCCATAAATGTGTATAATTATCATGTATTAACAGAACTATATAACTTATCTAACTGTAAATTGTTGTACTTTAATTTTTAATAGTGACTAATTTAATCAACTGGCTCATGGAATTCCTGAAAACTTAACAATTGGCTCTTGTAAGTTGGTAGGAGCTAGTTGAAGTTCGCCACTAAAAGTGTCAGGATATTTCAGGAAGAAAACAGCTTCTTAAGGTCCAACAGTGCTTCAGGGGACAGAAGGGAATTTACAGTGGATAAAAAGAAAAGTACCTTATGTAATTTCTAGGATTTTATGTCTATATTTGAACCGCCATAAATGTGAGATGGTAAGGATTCATATTAATGCAGAATCCCTATATAATACAATTGATTTTAAGTACACTATAAAGTCTTAAGGATTCAAAAGAAAAATAGCTCTATCTCTAAAGTGGTTTGGCAGAAGTGACTCACAGTTAAATAAGTCCATTATATCTTGATATACTTTAACAAACTTTGTGTCATATCTATCGTAACAATACCTTTTATTGTCAGTAACAATACCTTTTATTGTCAAGTAGTGCATGTTCTAGGTATAATTTAAATGGCCATTGATTTCCCAGAACTACTAAAATCTTTGCTACGTTGCTAAAGTAAGGTAGGTTATATAGTTTATTATCGGGTAACTTTGTTGAATATTTTGAACAAATTTAAAATAACTATAAAACTGAAAATGCAGTACTTGGCACCACCACTTTACTGTAGAGACATAAAGCACCAGGAGTTCTATTATAGTGAAAATTGTTCCTGTGACATTTGGAAAACAATTTAGCACTAGACAGAAAATGAGCAGTTTTGAGGTGGCCAGTTCTTAGTACCAGGATCTACAATTCTCAGAAGCCTGCTGGTTTCCTAACCAGCCTTGAAACACTTCCTTTGTTATATCCTTTCTAACCTAGCACATCTTTTTTTCCCTATATTTTTGAAACATATGAAATGAGGAGGAAGGAACTCTAAGCTCGTGTAATTGTTAGACCTGACATTTGTGTCACCAGGGAAACACACAAGCAAAATTAAAATATATCTAGGTCTTCATCATTTGAATTTTCTGAAATTCAAAAAGGACTTCTGTGTGCTAAAAAAACAAAAAACAAAAAAAACTCTACTTTTAAATATAATTATTTTAAATATCTGAAGAAGCATCAAATACTCTTTAGCTAATGTTCCCCTAATAGTTTAAATTCCCCTGAACAAAGAACCTATTTATAAACTTATTTTACTAAGTTACTTTAAGCCAGTGGTTCTCAAATATCTAGAGGGTTTATTAAAACACGGACTGCTGAACTCCATCCCTA